CAAAAGCAACTCCCGCACAATGATGGCAATGTAGTCTTCTCCAATGAGCCCGGGCTTCATCAAGTCAGCACAGCTCCCTCCAGAGCAAAATTCCATGACGATCCAAAGCTCGGCGCCCTTGGCGTAGGAGCCATAGTACTTGGTGACATAGGGCGACTGCAATTCAGAGAGGATGGCGATCTCCTGGATAATATCCTCGACTTCGTCCTCTGCGCTCTCAATGTCTATAACTTTGATCGCGACAGCCTGTCCTGTCCTCTTGTCGACGCTAGACCCGTATTGTTAGTAACGATGTTCCCATGGAGGGTCTCCTGGCAGCGGGCGGGCACCTCACCCCTTGTAGACCTTGCCGAAACTGCCTCCGCCTAGCAACTTCCGTTAGCCATTGTCCCACAGGGCCTCCGAGAAAGGCCGTCATTCTGTCGGAGGCGACCAACCAATGCAGTACTCCTTGGTGTACAGCAGCTCCGGGTCGAGCGACCCCTCGCCCTCCTCGTACTCTCGGTGATCCTTGTCTGCCATCCTGACGGTTCTCTGAACTCGCCGCCAAATCCCAAGGTAGGATACGCTGGTCTCTCTCAACGATCACCCCTCGAATCGCGCAGCATAAGATGGCCAGAGGCGGTGGTGTAGCGGTGGAGAGCGGCGTCGGTGCAAGCGGAGCGCAATTCCCGTAACCCTGGATACTCTTGGTGCTATTCCTCCTAGGAAAGTTTCTCGTCGACAGCAAGTTCGCTGGTCCAAGGCAGACCGACAAATGTGTCCTGCAAGAGACGAACAAGGCAAGGCTCGGTACGTGGTAGAAGTCGGTGTGAGGGCGTGGCGCGCGGCGGAATGTGCCACCAGTCGCTGTCGAGATCGAATGCAGGTGCCGTCTGTATCGGGTAATTGGTCAACAAAAAAGTCTGAGACACAAATTGCCAACGGCGCGGAAAGAGCTGCAGGAAAAGGAACAAAGCCAGGCAGGGTAGGGAGCACGGAGGGCCAAGAGCCAGCTGCTAAAAGGACGGTCGCCGCGCTCAGGTATCGGCATGTTGTTGCTTCAGTGTGCTTACCTTACTTTTCGATCGCCAAAATAACTTCGTCCGGCTAGAGAGAGGGGGGGGGTGCTATGCGAACTGCGGAGAAATAGACAGTTCAAATATACCTAATGACTGGGGGGGGAAGTTACAAAAAGGGAGAAAAAAAAAGAACACTCGCAGCAGCCTGGCGCACTCCTTCGGCGCAGCCAGCTTGTCGGTGTGTTTAGTTGGCAATGTGCACTTCCAGAACCTGATGTGGGGTTCATCTCGACGGGACAGCGAAAACACGGGGCGCCCACTCACCCATGGGATTTTTTGTTTATCGCGACCTCCACTCATCCGCAGGCACCTCCACTCCAGGGATGACATCCCGGGGCTGGACAGGGGCGACAGAGTCGCAGCGGGGCTAGTAACACGGGAATCTCCAGCAGCGCAACGACAACGAAAACTGAACCATCACGGACAAATCAACCGAACTTCCAGTCCAGCAATCCAAACCAAGTCCAATGCAAACTTCCAAACCTTACCCAAAAATCCACGCAGTGGCAACCACCAATTCGCCAATGGCAGTGGCCCCCTCTGCAGCACCCGACCCTTGCAATTTCCCTCCGCACTTGCATCGCAGCACGACATCCATTCCCGCCATCCCTACGCAGCAAGGCCCTCAGGCCACCAGGTCACCTTTTCCCCTGTAATTACCCCAGACCACCTCCTCAGACCTACCATTCGTTTCCTCTGTGATCCGCAGGAATGTTGAGGTGAAGCCAAGGCCAGAGATGAGGCCAAAAGTGAAGAGCCCATCCTTCTGCAGCTCAAACCCCCACCTCACCACGCTCACCTGCAAAGCCCTCCACAAGGAGAAACGATATCAAATCGCGTCACCCGCACCACGTCACCCCCATCGCGGGAGCGGGATGGCGTGGATGAGATGGTTTCAGGGGCGCCACCTTGGCCCTCGCATAACCGGCAAAGGAACACCAACGAGCACGCTCCCTCTAGGGCTGATGTTTCCCCTGGCTCACCTTCCCCACCAACGAATGACATGCCTTAACCCTCAGGTGTGCTCACCTCAGCCCGGCGCAGGGGCGACGCACGTTCTCGCGTTCAGCTGGGTCTGCCCCAGATTGACCGCCAAGCTCGGTTTGGTTGGTCGAGGGGCAACTCCTCGGCAACGACTGTGATGCTCTCAACATTGGTTATGATTCCTAAATTCCAGATTCACGATGATCTCAAAGGCTCAAGGACTGCCAGGACATTGGATTCACCCAGGCAAAACTGTTCGCCCATAGTCTACCGCTCTAAGTTGATGCCCCTCATGGATTCCTTCGATGCAAATGTAACCCTTGCCGCTCCCAATGGGCATGCCAACCGGGTCACCCATGCGCTCCATTAGTCCCGCTATCCCGTTGCATACCTGCATGAAACCTCTCCCAAATCAAGGAAAACGCTGCCGTGCAGCAGACGACTGCCAGTGAGAAAGTCAAGCGGCCAGGCCCTGGCAACGAAGACCACGCGGCTTCCTCCTACGCCGTGACGCCCGTTTAAAGAACCACATCGGCCTCCTTAAATCGAAACAGCCTCCCGAGTAATACATACCGAGCGGAATAGCACTGGACTGGACGATCTGTGCATGCTGCACGACGCCGATCACTCATCCGGCTCAATAAACTCGATCATGACCGTTCCGTTGGCCAGTCCTGCCTCCTGAATCGTCTGGTCGAGGTACTCGATCAAGTCATTGCCCTGAGGCATCGACTTCAACTCAAACTCGACTCCCTCTTTGCCCGCAATGGGCTCCGCTTTGAGCCACTCATATAGACGAATAACATGTTCGTGCAGACCAAATCTGCGAATGATACGGTTCGGCGGGTTCCGCACCTGAATCCTAGTTGTCGTCTTAGGATCAGCCGCCGGTTCCACGTGTGGACGATCAGAGGCGATCCGGGCGAAAGGTGATATTTGTGGTGTTGCAACAACGGACGTTGCGGCCTCCTCGGCCTCCTCGGCCTTCTCCTTGCCCTTCCCGAGGTCTCCAACAGATTTGGTAAGCTCGTCAGGGTCGATAAGGTCGGGGGAAACGTCTCCGCCATTTGACTCCAGACTGTTCGCCATTGCCATCCGGAGCATCTCCTCCTCTGTCATCCTGTCCACATTCACCGAACGCTCGGGGCGCTTCGCCTTGGTCACGGGATTCTTGCTGTTAGCGGCCAAGCTGTACCGATCGAGAAACTCGACCAGCTGGCCGTAGAACTCCAGAGCCGCGGGGAAGGGGATCCCGCTCCAAACCTTGACCTGCTCGCCTGTCCTAGGGTCAATGATGGAGACGTGCGGGTAGTTGTTGGGATTCTCGTGCGTCTGGTGAGGGAAGTAGAATGAAATATACTGCTGGGATGCTGGGTCGACCTTGTCGAACTGGAGGAAGACGAAATTTTGGCCAACTAGCTGCTTGATGGCCTCATCCTTCCAAATATCGCGGTTGAGCGCTTGGCAGTTGAAATCGGACATGTCCTGAAGATTAACCAAAATCCACTTTTTCTCCTCCTTGCCCAAGTCGCGCGCTTCGTCCCAAGTGATGTTGGACATGAGATCGTATGGTGGGCGGAAAAGCTCGGCAAGACGTGTCGCTCGACTAGTCGCGGCACCTAATGCTGGGGCGCCGGGAGCGGATCCCGATGCTTCACCATCCCACACCGACTGGGCAAATGGATTGTTGGTCCGACCTGGGCGTGCTGTCACAGGTCAGTCAGTGCTCAATGACCCCAAACCCGAGAACATCCGGGAAGTAACTTACGTCGGGGCGCCTGCCGCCTGCGAATCTGCTCTAATATAGCTTCCTCATCTGGGCCCCCGTACGCGCTCGGGGCGACCAGAGTCTCCGTGGTACGGGCCATAGGCGCACGAACACCCTCATCGTCCAGAGCTGGTCCACCGCCGCCGTACAACTCCTCTTGTAATCTTTTGGCCATCGCCGCGTCTTCCTCCTCCTGTGCCGTCCGAGCCACATGGACAGCGTTGGCGGTATCATCCCCATCATCAAACTGCCCAAAAGACTCATCCTCCGTCATCTCGATATCATCGTCCGAATCCAAATGGATGACGCCCTGGGCGTCCTCACGGCCTGCCCGTCTATTCGACCTCGATCTGTTCGGTCGGCTCCGAGCGCGCGAGGCGCTTGTGCTGGGGCCGGCCGCCTGGGCGGCAGGTGCTGGTGTAGAAAGCGTCCGCTGGAGGTCCTCGTCGGCGAACCAGAGCTGGACAGCCTGCTCGATGTCGGCACCGCACATCTCGAGCATGCGTCGCGCGGCGTCATCGCTGGCGCCGGTGATGCCCATAAACTGCTCGACATCCTCGGGGCTCGCCATCTTGGGGGGCGGCGATCGGGCAGGCAGTCAAAATGGTTGAGGCGCGGGGTCGAAGGAGGGGTTAACGTGGGATGAACGTTGCGAGGGAAGGGGCGGCAGCCGTTGAATGAACTCAGGCGATGAATGAAATCTTTGAGAGAGAGAAAAGGCAATTCCAAACGCTCCGCCGAGGCAGTTGAGAGAAAAAGGAGGCGCCTGGGTTGTGGTGGCACGCGGGGTTTCGGGGGTGGCGTTGGGCGAGGAAGAAGCTCTGCAAGCTGAGGCGATAAGGCTTTAAAAATCAGGAAGCCAGCGCACCGAGCGCGGGGTCTTGCTGAACCGCCGCCCGAGACCAGATGGAACAATCGGAAGGTGCTAGAATGTGCAGGTGAATCCGCTTCGCAAAATCACGGGGGAACGGTATAAAGAATGGAGGTTGGTCAAAGAGACACCTCGGACTTTGTCAGAGGCAGCGAGGTTGAGTACGTCGACAAGCCACGAGCTCTCGCAGGCGTCGCCAGTTGGAAGCGTGTGACGCAAGAGGTTGCCGGATCATCCAAACATGCGATTCCCGACTTGCCACACCACGCACAGACCAGGTCTCTTGAACAGTTTAGGTCAGGGTTAGGGTAAAATGTGAGTGACAAGGAATCGAACCTGGGTTTGTTCGGAGAGGGGTTGAGAACCGCAACGAACTGTACTGACCATTATACTAGCCGCTCTTGATAGTTTGATGGATGCTTGGTCGGCTGTGAAATATTGTTTCTGTTGGGGAATTTTAGCCCGGTGATCCTGTTGTTGACACACCCCTGAGATGGAGACACAAAGTGGGTCGTCCCAGCACTGCCCCTTTCTTGTGGGCAACACGGACACTGCAGGGCACGCTCCTTACTTCCGATGAACAATTTATTTACCTGCTTCTTACAGCCCTAGAGGACGTAAACAGAATCAAGGCTTGCAATTGTCGTGTTGCGTCATTGGAACATGGTATTACACCAGCAATGATGGATGGGACTCGACCAAAAAAAATTCCATCAACAGGTTGAGAGTGAAAGGAGCCCATAGTTTAACATCTAAATATATAGTTTCGCTGTACCGACCTTACTAGCCCAGAACTGCCAGGCACTCCTTCCACTTTCCTTGAACCTCCAACGATCTCTCCTCTCTCAGAGCCTTCTCCACGGCGCCCTTCACCACCGCCTTCGTCTGTGCGAGCCCCTCTACTGCATCACCACCCTGCTTCTTCCACAGCTGCGCGGCTGCAATGGCCGCCTTGATCCTCGCAAGTCTTTGCTCCTCCGTCCCCGCATCTGCCTTGTCCAGATCCAAAGTGGCAAAATACCACTTCAGAACCACCAATCCTTCGTCTCCCGTATTCACTACTCCATCCCCAGCAGCCTCCAGGACTTCTGCGACGCACTCATACCAGTACGCCCGACGGACAATGTCGAACTCCGTCTTCCCAATATACGGACTCTCCAAATTCGGCTTTCCCTTGGAGTTGTTCCCATGCTCCAGGGCAAGCAAAATCTCCTTCAACTCCCCAATCGGGGTCTTCCTCATCTTCTTCCGGTTGTATCCCTTCGCCACAGCCTCGATACCTGCCCAGGCAATCTGACTCCTCGGGTCCACCCCCCTCGTGTTGCCCTGCTTGGGCTTGTCGACGTCCATTTCGTCTTCATCCTCGTTCGGTAAGTCGATGTAGTCCCAGACAATTTTGCAGATTTCAGGAAGCAGCGTCAGGTCATCCCTGGCAGCGGCAAACTTCCAGAGACACTTGAACGCATGCGGGCGGTATTCGTCGTTGTTGCGGTTGGCCTCTCGGATGGCAATTTTCTTGAGCTGCTCGGCGAATTGGGTATCCTCTGTCCACCAAGCCTTGCTCTTGCTTACGAAATCCGGAAATGGCTCGAGAAGCTTTTCCTTCTTTGCGAACGTCTTGAGCGACAGCGACTTGTCGTAGATTGGCCACACGGCTTTCAGATTGCCAATGTTTACCTGACCTGTGAGATCGCTGGAGCCGGTGATGGCGGCAACAATAGAACTAGTGGCAAGGGCACCGGCATGCCTGAGAGCCCACTGCGCAGAGCCCAGGCATTCTTGAACCAGGCTGACAATCTCGGGTATGTAGCGTGTGATAGTCAAGCCGCTTCTGCTCCAAACCTCCTCAAACCCCTTCTCAACATACTCGTTCGTGTCATGTTTGCCCAGGAATGCTAGGGGAAGAAGTTGCGACTCCAAAGCGGTGAAGTGGTCCGGCGAAATCTTGGACAAGGCCAAGATAGCATCGGCAACCTTTTCTCGGCGGATCTCATCTTCCGACTCCAGATACAGCTTGATGAATCGGTTGACATAGAGCTCCCTTGCCTCGTCAGGGGCGACCCGGAAGATGTAAGCTGCTGCGCGGGCATAACTTCCGCTGACTTCGTTGTTTTTTCCGAGCGCTTGCTTCTCCATCAGCTGCAGAAATCGGGCAGCGTGTGGCCGGAAGTCGTTGGTGTGTCTAGTAGCCAGGGTACTCAGGAGGCGGGCGCACCCCACCTTGGTCGCCATGCCTAGCGATGACTTGACCGTTTCTTCTAGCTGTGGCGCAAGCTTGCTGATGACATCGCTGTCGGCGTTGCGCAGGCAGTTTTCGATGGCCTCCGTCAGGGGACTCTGCGAGACCATGGCGCTTCGCAACTTGTCGATTACCTCCTTGTTCTCCTCCTTGGCACGCAGGTAGGCGTAGTTGAAAGCCTCTGGCTCTATCGTGCTGAGCTGACCAAGGAGGTTGGGTATCAGTGTCGGCACGTAGGGGTTCAGCCCCTTTCCACCACTCTTGGCGATCTTAATCACCGTCAAGGTAGCGAAGATCTTCACATCCTCTGCCTTGTTGTCTATCGCCTTCTCGGAAAGGAGGAATGGCAAAGCCTCCTTCATCATTGGCACAGCGGCAGCTGTTGGCCCCGATTCCTCCAGCTGCCGCACCAACGTGGCGCTGAGCGAAATGCAAAGTTTGAATGCTGCCTCGCGAACACTACCTTTTACGTCGTCGAGCACCTTGAGCGCAGAGGCCCAGATATCCTTGTAGTATGTCTCGTATTTGGGGAATGGTCGCCCAGCGATCAAGTCCGAAATCGCACCACAGCAGGCTTGTCGGACTCTCCATTCCTTGCCAATAATGTTCTTGAGCAGATCTTGCATAATGGCATCAAATTGCGTGTCCAGAACGGTGCCGGGATCCTTGACCAGTGCCTTCCAGATATCATCCATTGACTTTTGGACGTGCGAGTTGGGGTCAAATCGGTAACGGAACAGCTTGGGGTATAGCTTGGGGTCGATCTCTGACTGTGATAGGATGTTGCTGAGTCCGAAGCGCCCGAAGGCCGAACGGGTGGACCAGGTTGCCGAGTCCGCCGCCAAAGACATAAACTTGTAGATGAGACTCTGGTCCCCGACTTCATTGGCCAGGCTAACGATATCTTTGTATGAAGTGATGGAATTTCCATCGGTTGTGGGCAGAGCGCCGGCTTCGAAGAGCTCCGTGTCGTCTTCAACCTTGGTTTGCGGGCCTGTGCCGGTGAATGCTGTGACGATGTCGCGTTGAAGCTCCTTTTGCAGTTCTGCATCCCCCTTCTGGAAGACAAGGGTAAGGCCTCGGGTGGCTGTCTCTTTGACCAAGTCGTCCCTTGCGGCGAGAAGCCTCATAAAAGCGACTTGGCAGTCCCTCAGCTTTTGGTGCACCTCCTCCAACTGCGAGCAGTGTTGGATGATGCAAAACAACCAGATACCAGAAGCCTTCATCAGTGAAGGCTTCGTCGTCTTCGAGTCTGTCAGGATTTTCTGGAGAGTCGAAGCCACACGGTCAGAACGCTTGCCTACCCGCCAAGGCCCTTCTTGCGCGGCAACATCGAGTGTGAGTTGCACGACCCCTGCATCCCAGCAGCCGATAGTGGCTGCGATGGCCTCGCCCACAGCAAACTGAACCTCGACCCCCTTGATGTCATAGAGGGAGTAAAGCTTTTCCAGGACGAGATTGACAATATTATCTTGCTTGAAAACGAGAGTAAGCCTTCCCAGTGCGGTGATAGCCCTTTCGTTTCCTTTCTTTGCGTGGATCATCAGTGGTTCAACAAATGACTTGGTGACGTAAGCAAGCATGTCCGCCTCGTCCTCCTTCCCCGTGGCAACGGCGACACCAGCTGTCCAGAGTTGGGTATATGCATCGAAGATGGCTTCTTGAGTGGAAATCAGGGAAGATGAAACCGATTCCAGAGTTGGGAAAATATCGCCTAGGTTGACATTCTCAGAGTCTTCGGTCGAGGTTTTGTAGTACACCTTACGAGACCAGAGATGTCCCAATGCAAGGAATGCTCCCTCCGCAGCGTTCAGACCTTGGCCAGAGGCTGTCTTGAAGGGCTTTGCAGCTGTCGTCAACGATGCGTTGGACCTTGCCAGCGACTCCTGGGAGCAAGATGGATGGGCGGCTAGTATTCCGAATGCTCTTGCGCCGAGAACACGAACCTCCTTGTTGTTAGAGGTAATGAGGGGGAGGAGCTCGTTGGAGCGGAGTGCGAGGGCAGCAAGCACAGACTCGGGCGCAAAGCATGCAAGATCAACAAAGGTCGTCGCACACGGCTCAACGACTTTGGCGCTTTGCTTTACCATTCCCTCAAATGCGGCCAGAAGGAGGCGGTATATAGCCCAGTTTCCATCGTCCTGTGAGCTAATGTAGTCTCGAATAGTCTGCCGTGTTTCCAAATTTGAGCGGCTGCGCGTCTCCAGCTGGCTCTCCCATCCTGGATCCGTTTTGAAGTCTTCCAGTGCCGAAAGGAACAGCACACGCTTGCAGTACTCGAGAGCGACAGGAAATGCGAAAAAGGCGTCGCCGGGGAAGTTTTGAAAGATCGATTTCTCGTCAACATCCATCCCTCCGCCAGCTTTGCCGGGAGGCTGAAGCGAGGAGCCTGCGGCGCTTTCGGTGATATTCTCCTGGAAGAAGGCTCGCACCATGTGGCGCCAGTCTGGCAAGCTTTTGGAAGCATCGTCGTCGGCATAGTACGCCCAGGGATCCAGGCCTTTGCGGCCTTCCTCGGTCACCTCACTGCGCTCTGTCCGTCGCCCGGCGATGGCCAAAAGATTGATCCACCTGGCATAAACATCGGAGAAGGGGAGACAAGTATTCGCCCACTTTGTAGCAGCATGCCGTGTGCTGCGAATCGCGTCCCCCGTGTCTTCGTCCTGGGTCATGTAGGCTAAGAGGATATGGCGCAACGGGCCGTAGACGCTTGCAAGTCGGGGGTGCTCGAGGACGGTGGTAAGGCTTGAAAGGGCACTCTCAATGTTCATAACAACATCGTGAGTTGGGTCTTCGGAGAGGGACCGGAACAGCCACCCGGCGAGCGATAGGTACGACACATCGGTCATGGGGGCGCTTCGGGCGAGAATCCCGATCGTTTCGTAGGCTCTTGAGCGAAGTGCAATGTCATCAAAGGACAGACTCTCAGGCTTTGGCCATCCTTGTTCCTCAACAAACCCCTTCAACAGGTCGATGATCGGCGCCCCTACTTTCCGGAAGTCGGTCTTGCTTGGACCGATCCGGGCAGCCCAGTTGAGAAACTCAAACTGGGCCTTGTGCAATTTTGCCAGTTCGAGACCATATGGCCGGGAAGTCTCTTCACTGGAATTCGCCTCGGTGACCATATTCTGTTTGAACGCAGCTAGAATCTCGTCGGTAAAGGTGGTGGCAACCTCGGACCTGCTCAACAAACTCAAGATCCGCGCACGATAGGGGCTCGGCAGCTTGGAGTGGGCGTCAAACAGCTGGCGAACTGGGCGTTCATCTTCCAGAGACACCGAGGTTCTCTTGAGAAGGTCGTCACCAATGTTGGAGATGCGGAAGTCGGTGCTTGACGCGGCATAAATGGCGGGTAAAAATCGCTCCGCGTCGACAAATGCGCCGCTCGAGAGAAAAGCAGCAACCTTGATCCGGGTCTCAGTGATGTTGAGGCCCTTGGCGCTGATATTCCAGGTATCCGGCTTGCCCAGGGTAAGGAACTTCACATCGGCCGCGGTGAGCCCAGGGGGGCTATCACCCCCGAATGGGCCGCGAAGGAGAAGCACCTTGCCCAGCCAGCTGGCCAGGAATTCGGAGTCCTTTGGACTTTCAAACACATCGTCCCGGAGGGCTACGTCCTCCTTGGAGCCGCGAGATGGCGGTTTGAAGTCGGCCAGCAGTCGCAGGATGACGTTGAACAAGTTGGGAACGGTGGGCGATGGCTCAGAGCGCAACACATCCGATCCGATGCTGCGGATGGCCTTGGGTATCAGAGCCCGTCGATCCTCCGGGTCAAGCCTCCTAGCACTATGTTGAATAAAGACGAGGTCAAAGTGCTTGAGGAGGACCGAGGTTGCGGATTTGTACTGATCCAACAGGGCGGCAACAGGCAGCACAATTCTGCAGCCGGGTCAGTGTGCAGGCCATGGCCAGACTGTCATTTTGCGTCACATACCCTGGAGCCTGGATAAAGGTTTCGACTCGTTTGCATACTTCAATGACCTGTTGGGGTGTGAGCGTCAGGGGCTGGTGAGGGCTGGTCGCCGTTGTGGAGCCGAGGGGCAGGGGCACAGGGGAGGGGCAGCTCACCTTGGTTTGGACCGACTTGTGCTCGCTGGCGAGTTTGAGCAGCAGGGCGGGGAGGTACACCTTCAGCAACTGCTGGAGTTTCTCCTCGTTATTGGCAACGGCTACGATGCGAAAGTCGACTTTGTCCACTAGGTCGAGCTCTCTCTGCTCGGTAGAGGCGGCCGCCATGGCGAGGGCTGGCGATGGGTCGAGCGCCTGAGGTGGGGTTTGTTGACCAACTTGTGCAGTCGAGGAACAAGGTGAAAATCTGTCACAGTTGACGCGACTTCAAATATCTCAAATTCCAGCACTCTCTGTGGCAATCATGGCGCAGCTGCAGTCGTAAGCTCGGTGCCTCCGTGGTCTTGTTCTTGGTGGTCTTGATGTTTCAAGGGATGGTGGGCAGCATGAGCCTCATCCAGGCGGCAGGAGCGCACGCATTCAAGGCGCCAAGCGCACGCAAGCGGGTGAGTGACTAAGCACTCATCCAACACCCCTGTCTCAAAGTCCCACAACAAACGCGCACAATCTCACATCCTATTCCGGGATCACGCTGAGGCTTTCTCAGTTTAGGTGGCCGAGACGTAGGGAATAGCTCATGGCGATATTTACGCATCATAAACGACGCGCACAGAAACGGCACAATAACCTTTGCCATCTCCCTACATGGGCCCTAACCCTAATCGGAGCAAACTCCGTGAAGCGGATGACATGCATCCAGAGCTGCATGCGGATGCTTGCATAAGGCACACAAAAGCCGTGAAGGTGTTGTCACTTTGGAGGCAATCTAGGAGCAGGAGCTTCCAAAAGGCCAAAAAAAAAAAAAGAGAAGCGGTGATCGCTCACCACATGTTTGTCTCTTCGAGAGAGAATCGAGCCGGTGACCTTTCGGTATATGAATGTAACATTTACAGCCGAACGTGATAGCCAACTACACCACAAGGAGCTTCTTTGTTGGAAGTGCGGAGTTTTAATTCCCCTCTCATGCAGTTCGCCAGATGGCGCGTCTCCAGTTCTCCACAAAACTCACGACAAAAAAAAATGGGTCAGGGGCGATTCAGGCGTAGAACTCATTGTCCTCTCAATGATGACTTGACATGTTTGGGCTTGCGGTGTATCCAAAAAAATTATGACGATCGTAGTGTTTGGCCCTGGATACAGCTAACGAATCAAGTGTGAATGCTGAAGACGCGGGAGAAATGGGCAGTTCCATGACGCTCTCAAGTCTGGTGGGACAAGGGCCGCCTGCTTGCGCCAGATATGTGAGACAACTAGATGATTATATGAGACTCCCACAATGGAAAATGAATAGTTATTGGGCTTTGTGAAGATAAAAAGATCATGTGCAGCTCTGTCTGGACTGCAGCCTTGGTCTCACCTTCCTTCCGAGCTCCAACACTCTAACGTACAGGGTCACAACGTGAAAAGTTTTCCGGGACCTCACGCAACTATTGACTTGCGTGACGCTGGAATAACTCAACCTGGAATTTGGCCTGGGATTCTTGGGGCCTGGTTCCCCAGACCAGAGGAGAAAAGGCGGGTCTCGCAGAGAGAATGCCCCATGGTTTTATTCGCATCCTTGTGCATGGACCACAAGACCTCCAGGGCTGCCACTCCATACTAAATTTATTGTTGAACTTATTTTCCACGTGATTCCCACGTGATCTCTGAGGCCATCTAGACGCCAACAACATCTCCCCATCATGACGAAGTCGCCCGAATCTCATAGGGAATGATCAGCCTCAGATATTTGTCACATTGCTGCCAGAATGCGGAGCATATTTAGGTTTGTTGACGCTGCCTGCTCGCTTTTCCTAGCTCGGCGTACCCCGTCAACCTGAGCAACAGCACGCTGCAAATCTCAGAAACGCAGCTCTGGAAACATGCGAGCAGCTCGGCCCAATAAAAAAGAATCAAAACTCCTTCCCAGTGCCACCAGGGACACATTCAGCTTGATATGGAGAATCAGGAAGAAACTTGCCCTTTGCAGCATATTCATCATGGACTGACTTGGAGACTTTGAATCAAGCACTGGGGTATTCGAGCCAGTATCCGAAATTTTGACCCCCGGGCAATGACAGCTTCATCAAGCCATCGACAGATATATCCAGCCCGCTACATTCGATGTAAGCGGACGGTAGAGCCGTCCCAGCGCGCACTCATACTAACAGTCTACAGGAAAATACTGCTGCCGCCATGAATTATCAAGGAGATAAGCATCTGCCATACTGAGCATCGAAACAGGACAGCCGGGCCAACGAGACTCCTGACTAGTCCCAGGATCAAAGCTCGCCGTATTGATAGCTCGGCTAAATTCAATGTGCTCTTTGTGTCAGATGCGCAACAGGACGCTGACGTCGGTTGAAACAGGTCTCCGCCCCAGACAAGCAAGCCCCTATTTCACCCTTGACCCAAGGGACCCAGTTCCCCGCCGAGCCGAACAAGAAGATGAGCAGGAAGGAAAGGATATGAGGAAGTAATTCAATCCAAGAGGGCACGTTGATTCAACTGCCGCACATATAAGAGGGGGAGACACGATACCAGCTCGTCACTGGGAAGAGGTGGAAACACATCAAGGAATACTTGGAGAATACAAGGCAAGAGATGGAATATATACAGGAACCATACACGCGGAAGAGGAGGAGAATATACAAGAGTGGATAAGGAAGCGATCGATCGAATAAGGGGCTCAGGAGTCTCCACGCCTCGCTGAGAGTCCATTCCTTATATCACCGACGCGAATCCCGTATCGAATAGCCCCCTTCTGAACAAGACCGAACAAGAACTTAGAATAAGTCGAGCAGATTATAAGATCGGATCAAAACGTGACTCAAACGTACAAGATACCCGAGTTGGAAGACGTACAAGGGAAAAACATAAAAGAGGCGGAAATACAATACACAGTGGAGTTGCGAAAGAGATGGAAACAGATATATGGTAGCACAATACAAGACATGGGCAATATATGGGAAATGGTCCACATCGAAGAGCTGGATAGTAATACATGGAGAGAATGTACAAGAGCCGGAATATGATACAAGAAACGACTGGAGGTTCAGTTGATATCACTTCGACCAACCGAATAAGGGGCAAAAAGGGTGCCTTATCCACGCTTCGCCGAGAATTACCCCTTATATCGCCGACGCAGGCCCCATATCGAAGAGCCCCCTACCGAACGAGATGCGAGCCACCTGAGAGACCCAACGAGACGAGCGACCGAAACCCCGAGCAAGTAGACTGAACTAGAAGCCTGAACAAAAGACCTGAACAAAAACCCTGAACAAAAAACCTGAACAAATAGCCCGAAAAAGTCCAACAACCGACAAGACCGGCTCGAACGAGAATCGAACGTGATGACCGAACGATACGATCGAACCGATCGAGGAGAATAAAGAAGAAGTGTAAGAAACAAATATACCGAGACCGGCGGCCCCGAAGCCACAAGCGCCGAGAAGATACAACATAGCCAAGCCGAGGACAAATCCAACAACACCGAGTACAAGGCCGAGAAGAAAACCAAGACAATACGCCGAGACCCACAACCAACTCCGGACCCGGAGCACCGCGAAGACGTACAATACGTACCTAATCCCGTCCATTCGAAATTATCATTAAATCACCAGCAAAGATTCAAAAACGCAATCAAGCCATCATCAAGCCATCACAAGACTCGTCAAACACGTGCACCAAGTCCAACAACGAGCCTGCTTAAAGCTACATATCCACAACGACCTCCGCAACGTTCAGCCCCCAAACTAGGCATTTCAACCAGCTTCCAACAAACACCTCGGTGTGGACATCCGGGCCGATCTTAGGGCTCACCTTCATATCAACCCGTCATCGACCCTGGCCAAGGCTGGCCGGAAAGTGGGTACCCAGCGCCCACGCAGTCGACGGCAACACATATGCCACGTTGTCGACAAAGACCTTGTCAAGAAACCGCCGACAGACCTGCAGCCATCACATCACACCACATGCAAGAACCACACGAAACAAAACGCAGTCAGCACCCCCTGAGCACCCGAAACGGGGGATACTCACACGTCTGAAATCTCACCACACCTCCCGCCACAGTACCGGATAGTATCCGCATCTCTGCCGTTCCCACCGGATCAGGACCACCACAAAGTTTATCACATTTCCCCTGCCAAGCCCACCCCAAAACCTCGTATTTGTTTCCCCTCCTACTACCAACTGATTGGACACACGTTTCGGAACACTTACGGAACAACAGCCCATTTGGCCATCAATGCCGCGCATATTGATCGTCATGCGCACCTCTCTGGATCCCGCGAGCCCGTCACCTCCCTGACCGGGTAACCAAGGGCCACGCGTTCAGCCTGTGGAAATTTCCGATCGTTTTTCCTTCCTAGGCAGGGTTCGATTGGCTGTGCGCCCCCTGAGGCTCAGGCTGTTTGGTTTTCTACCGTGTCTTGGGTCTTGGCTGAATGGGGAAATGTTCTGGAAGGACTCGACGGAAGCTCTAAGGAATCTCGACGTCCAGGGCGGCAAACTTCAAGCCGGTGGCTATCCAGCCTCAGTCTGGGTTGATAATGGTCTGCACCCAGCCCAGACGGCCGGGAAAGAGCGGGTTCGGGTTTCTACCGCGTCGTCGTTGACGTTGCGGAATGCCACCTCGCCATAGAGCCTTTGGCCCGAAAACTGCCTGAGATCGGTTGATTTTGATCGGGTGCTCGTCGAGACACGGAGCGCCCCTTGCGCTGCCGTGCTCGAGGAACATGCCCACAGCCGAAGCGGGGAGACGCCGGTAGCTGGCGGAAAGGCCAGCTCGTGCATGTCAAGCTTGACGGGTTCCAAGACCGGCATTGGGAAACTCGCGCAGGATACAACTTGGTAGCCCGTCCTCCGTGCCCGATGCCATCTGACAACTGCGCTTTTGGCGACAGTCTCCACTGGAATACAAGGGCCCGACCTCCTTCTCCCCGGGCTCCAGGTCCGGACCTCCACACGATAAATCAAACAGGCTGCATTCTCTTCAGCCAAGTGCCGACGAGTGCGTATCGACAGCTGGCGTGGGAGTTTGCACAGTCTATCCAAGCAACCCATTTTGGTTCACACCAACGGGGACAGCATCATTTGGACATTGGTGGCGGATAATCCCCGAGGTACGGTCGGAGAACCTTGAGATGTGGCGAGTTTCGGACGTGTACAAAGTCCAACGATCGTTCAAGTTCGGGATGGATAGAGACGGCACATCCGGAAGTTGGGAGATCTGGCCTAATTCTCGGCGGCGCAACCTTGGCGCGCTCGTGGCAGCTAAAGGTTCGCACGCGCAAGGGGGCAGACGCTTTTCGTGTTCTCGACTGCTGCAATGACCCTTCCAGCGAAGTTGAGGGAGCGAGGTACCCAGATGCTGGCGCCCTGGGATAGTTTCACATTTCCCAACGCTTGCGTCATGATGCTCGGACTGGCCTTGTGGCGGTGAGAGGTCTGGATCGGTGGCTTCATAGAGTAGCCGATGTTACCCAGTTGCAGTCTGTAGCCACCATCACAGGTCTGATGCCTGGCAGGTCAACTACATATAAGGTTGGCGCAATCCTTACGAGGCGGCCCGTATCCCGATCCGAAGGGGAGCGCCGTCTTGTACATGGGCGTGAGCGTAGAGGGCCTTCTCTTTCCCGTCATTGGCTCCATTAGGGGAAAAGCAGGAGCCATTCCATCCACCGCACTCTATACCTGCCCAATCAAGTGGCCGATTATATTACCTTTGTGGTGACGCCGACAAGGGGAGGGGGCGTACGCGAGGTCAACGGCACGCGTTCGTGCAGGACAAGAGAGGGAAGCCGAACGCACAGGTTGTGGAATGCTGTTGAGAACAGTTGAGCTCATCGGCTATCTTTGTTATCTCTGTGACGGAAAAGACACCCCCGCAGAAAGCAGGTCGATGATGACTGCGAGTTTATCTGGCCGGGAGGGCGAGTTGAT